CTGATCACAAGCCCATCTTCTAACCTCTGCGCCACCACTCCCCCAATACAAAGTTGTTGTTTGTTTTCTACTCCACCTTATAATCTAGGAGTTTTTTTCCGCTACTTTATTTTTTTGACTGTCCTTTTGGTTGCCATTTTATTTTAATTTGTAATAATAAATAAATTTATATGCCTCTTTTATGATTGTCTGCTCATGTCGTTGTTATCCACTGGCACTGTTGTCATCACTCTTTGTTAAAGAAATCAGGTCTCTCTTGTAAATGAGTCCCCGAGGCTCAGTGGGATTAAGGTTGAATGAATGAAAAAGCTGAAGGTATAACACTTAAAATAAGTCTATGCATTAAAATAATACTGAACAAAAATGTAAACAGATCACTTGTTTTTGCTCCCATTTTTCATGAGCTGAACTCAAAAATATGACTCTTTGTACACAAAAGGCATTTTTCTCTCAAATATTGTTCACAAATTTGTGTGAATTTGTGTTAGTGAGAAATTCTTCTTTGTGGATATAATCCACCTCACAGGTGTGGCATATTCATTCAACCTTTAAAGACAGGTTAATCCCATTGAGCCGCGAGGACTCATTTACAAGAGACCTGATTTCAAAGAATGATGACAACAATAGACAACAGCGACAACAATAGACAGTTTTAAAAAAGCATACAGATTTATTTTTTTTCAAATAAAAAAATCAAGATGCTGATTATTGCACAGGTGTGCCTTAGGCTGGCCACAACAAAAGGCCACTCTAAAATGGGCAGTTTTATGGCGTATTGTAACTGGGGCTGTCACAATAAACAATAAATTAATCGCATGATAAATGAAAACTATCAACCTCATTTTCATTTATCGGCTTTATCGTTTCTTCTTGTCTCTCTCTTTGTACTGAAGACAATGGATGACAAAACGCTCAACTCCGGTGCTCTTCACTGACCCCTCCCTTTCTCTTTAAAATCCATTGTAACGATCCAAAAATCACGTTTTTGGATCTTTCAAAGCAGCTAAACTGAGAAACTAAGCTATGAGCTAAGCTAACAGGCTGACCTCTGTCTTGTTGAAGCTCCATAATTCACAGTTGAAACCCGTGCCTTCACGTAAAAAGTTTCTCTGCAAAAAGAAGCTGGGAACTTGTTAACCGATTTTTGATTGAAAGCTTTGTGTGAAAAATGCTATGCTAAAGAGCTCAAACCACACCGAGTGTCCGTCATTTTGAGAACCGAAGAGAGAAAGCCCATGTCACGTTAAGGGGCCTCCCTCCCATTTTTTCTTAAAGAGACACGATGCTTGCTCCCTCACTATCCATCCTATGGTTCAAACAGTCTTATACTTCCATCCGGTGGTCGATAAAAGGTACTACATGCAAAACAAATTTTAAAAAAATTCTTCAATTTGACATTACTAATTACTTTCACATTTCAAACAATATTATCATTTATCACAATAATTTCTGAGACAATTAATCGCCCAACAAAATTTGTTATCGTGACAGGCCTAACTGTAACTTATTTTTATATATGAATGTTTCTGTTCAGTGCCCTGAGATGACTTCTGTTGTGACTTGGCGCTATATACTTTGTAATTAAACTGAAATGGTTTGAAAATTTATTGGGAGAGTCCAGGGGAATTAGAAAACCAGTCAGTATCTGGTGGAACCACCGTTTGCCTCACACAGTGCAACACATCTCCTTTGCATAGACTGGATCAGGTTATTGATTGTGGCCTGTGGGATGTGGGCCCACTCGTCTTCAATGGCTGTGTGAAGTTGCTGGATATTTTCAGGAACTGGGATACACTGTTGTATATGCTGCTGATCCAGAGCATCCCAAACATGCTCATTGGGTGATATGTACGGTGAGTATGCTGGCCATGGAAGAACTGGGATCCTTTCAGTTTCCAGGAATTGTGTACAGATCCTTGCAACATGGGGCCATGCATTATCATGTTGCAACATGAAGTGATGGTTGTAGATGAATGGCACAACATTGGACCTCAGGATGACGTCACGATATCTCTGTACATTCAAAATCTCATCAATAAACTGCACCAGTGTTCACTGTCCATAACATCTGTCTGCCTATACTATAACCCCACTGCCACCATGGGCTATTCAATTCACAACATTGACATCGGTAAACCACTCACCCACATGACATCATACAAGCAGTCTGCCATCTGTCCTGTACGGTGGAAACCAGGATTCACCCATGAAGAGAACACCTCTCCAACGTGCCATACACCATTGAATGTGAGCATTTTCCCACTCAAGTCTGTTGTGAAGACGAACTGCAGTCAGGTGGAGACCCCAGTGTGGACGACGAGCATGCAGATGAGCTTCCCTGAGACAGTTTCTGACAATTGGTGCAGAACCAGTGGTTCAGTTTGGTTGGTGGTTGTTGGCTTGATTATGCAAATCGACAGTTGCAGCAGCTGTCCGGGTGGCTGGTCTCAAACAATCTTGGAGATGAAGATGCTGGATGTGGCGGTCCTGGGCTGGTGTGGTCTGTGGTTGTGGAGCCAGTTGTATGTACTACCAAATTCTATGAAATGCCTTTAGAGACAGCTTATGGTAGAGAAATGAACATTCAATTCACGGACAAAATCTCTGGTGGACATTCCTGCAGTCAACATGCTAACTGCTGCTCCCTCAAAACTAACAACATCATGATGTGTGATAAAAGTGCACACTTTAGAGTGGCCTTTTATTGTGGTCAGCCTAAGGCACACCTGTGCAATAATCATGTGGTCCACCTGTGAGGTGCATTATCTCAACAAAGGAGAAGGGCTCAATAATACAGATTTGCACAAATTTGTGAACAATACTTGAGGGAAAAAGGCCTTTTGTGTACAAATAAAAAGTCTTAGATATTTGAGTTTAGCTCATGAAAAACGGGAGCAAAAGCAAAAATGCTACGTTTATCTTTTTGTTCAGTGTCACTACCATAAATTAAAGCAGATACGTAAAGCTTAATAATGAACATTGTTTTTATGTTCCTTTAGGTATTGTTTAAAATGAGCCTTAAATAATTATTATGTGTAATAAACCATTCCAATATTTATATCTTTTGACTGGCAGCTTGTTCAAATACTGTTCAAAAATCCTTGTAGGGAAGCATATAGTTTATTTATTTATATTTTGTTTTAAAGAAGCAATAAAAATTAATAAAATGATCAAAATTTCTTTTTCCTTATGTTACATTAGTAAACTGAGAATATTTTTGTCCAATACTTTATAACATTATTAACAGGTATTTCTCTTGTTTTGATATCTGCTTGTAAATACACTAATGAATATAATTATTAAATGCTTAATTATCATATAGCACAACTGACTGTTAAATATAACTTGTTTTTTTAAGTTTTAAAGAATAAAATAAAATTTGAACAAAATCTGGTTATTATCAACAAAATCCCATGATGAGGCTACATGACATGACCACATGCATCCTAGCTGTAAAGTAACTTATTAATAATATACGGTAAGTTGCCTCAATCATCCGGGTAGATAACAACAAAAAGGTTAAATCATGTAATCTGGAAAAAAAATCTAACAAAGTTAAGTCAGGTTTTATGGACGGTTTCTTTTTGTTGAAACGTTTCATCTTTCATCCAAAAGACTTCATTGGTCCGAGGAGCCACAACAAACTAGCACCTTCACATAGTGGGTCAACCAGTTTGATGGTGCTCTGATGGTTTCTGGAGTCCGCCCTCTCCCCCAACGACTCGTATGAGGCCGTCATGGCCAAAGTGGTTCAAAATATCCTCAATATCCAAAATATCCCACCGCCTCAAACAAATTCATATGAAATTGTCTCTAGGTGTGAGTGAGAGAGTGAATGGTTGTTTGTCTCCATGTGTTCCTGTGATGGACTGGAGACCTGTCCAGGTGTCCCCCGCCTCTCGCACAGTGATTGCTGGACATGGGCACCAGTGACCCAAAAAGAAAGAAGCAGGCAAATATAATGGATGGATGAATATTGAGACATTTCATTTCAAAACATTAAGATTTTTAGTGAAGGTCACAGCAAAACACAAGTTAACGGTGCAGCATTATCTCTTCTTGCTACACTTGTTTTTATATAAGGAGAAAAGTTGATGCACAGAAGTTGTTAAAGCGTAATAGTTTGGTACTCGTGCTTGATTTCTGTTGTTGACAAGCTCAGGACTTATTTATACATCAATATACTTTCAGTGAAGGTGATTCAAACTGGACCACAGGCAGCAGTTCAGCTTTACGCCTCCTTTAAACCATGCTATAAAAGGTGCAGAAAACACGTCATAAAATAGGTCCCCGGGCAGAATGTTGCCCCTAACATTTATTTTCATCACTAATATTGCTTTTACAAATAATCATCCTACTGTTTCCTGGATGATGAAACTATTTTCACACCAAATCTCAAAGTTAATGATCTGGA